TGATTTGGAAAACATCAAGAGCATTAGATTTCCATCAAAAGCTGGTTTAGAAGAAGCTTATTTTGGAAAAGCTTTTAAAGGCTTTTACGGTGGCTAATGCTGATGTTCAGCTTTTACTATTTTCTATATTTTAGCAAAGAAAGACAAAGAAAAGCTCATTGGTAAAGTCTGAGCAGATTTATTGGGATACCAAACAAGAGGGGATGTTTCCTTAGATATCTACAGCAAAGTGCACCTCGTGTTTTCTGATATGAAAGTTTGAAAAGTGCACAAAATCCAGCCACACAGGAGTTTCCTGTATGCAGAATAGCCTGACTAGGATCACAACCTGAGCTAGCACAGTGTGGTACAGTTCAAGTGAGTTCAAACTTGAGTAACTTTAATTTGTGTTTTCATTTTCAGATTGTCCAGCTGCTCCCACAGAAAGTCTGGAGAGAGATGATTATTTGATTCTTTTCGCCTCCGTAGTGATAATGATAGCACTTCTGCTGTCTTTCATAAGCTATGTAAGTAATGGAGGATAATTATATATAAACACACTAATATTTAAACCAATTTTCCACAAGAGATTTCTATTATGTGCATCCACTTAGAACCCAACTTACCTAATAATCATTTTGTTGTACTACCAAAAGATTGTAATGAGCATCTTTAAACATACTCAAACAATATGCATATGCTGGTCATTCTTAATCTAAATGTGTTTCTCACATCTCCACCACAGGTTTGTTTGACGAATGGATTGAGAGAAAGAAACAAACAACAACAGCAAGAAGAAACAACAAAAGAAGATTTTTTCCTGAACAAACCATTGGAACCAAAAGACTTGAAGTTGATCTACACTTTGGGTCCAAAACCATCCACAAAGACTGTACTCTGTGTGTAAAGATGAGGACTAATGTTGGCCAATAGAATAAGTACACTCTGCCCTGACATGTGGAAACTGGTGGAAAATGGAAGATTATGCGACAACCTTTCAAAAATCATCAGAAAAGTCAGATATAGAGCTGGATCTCCACAGATGCCAAGATGCTGGAGAAACTGGTGACCTGGTTCAAAGAGCAGGCCCAGTAATCAGACGTAGGTTGGTCAGTCTGTGGGTTAAATATAAAAGAGCCACTGGTTAAGACAGAAAGACAGTGAATTTGCATGAGCAGTCAGTCAAAGATTCACATTTGTTTTGTAAAAACCGGAATTTTTCAGGTGATATGACTTTAATTGCGCCCTATAGCTAAAAGTTTTATTAAGAAAATGATGTTTTTCTGCAGGCAGACAAACACAAACATATAAAAACTGTACTGTCAAGTCAGGCAAACAGTGACTGTGCAGGATGGAGCCAAGAAGGTTCACAATTGCGTTGTTTGTGCACATGTAGTCATGTAGTGGAAGATGTGTGAGTATCAGGAGTAAAAGGCACTGATGTTATTCATGAGACTGAAATGTCCCACTGTAGTAAGAGGATCTGTATTTTTATGTGTTTGTCAAGAATTCTAATGTTTACACAGAGGATGGATGCATTCCTACAAGTTTAAAGTGTCCACACTGAAAATTACTTTAAACTACCTGCTTTAAATGAGCCATGACAGAATCTAGCGTTCTGGATTCTGTTAATTGTTTTATGTTCTCATATTTTCTTGTTTTTTTTTCTTTAAAGCAGACCTTTTAATAAGCTATTGTTATATAAATGATTTTCTGGATTAAATCCATATTATTGACTTATTAATGTTGTAACTTGAAAAAAATATTTTGTTCAGAGACTTATTCTCAGGAAGTACCACATCTGTAAATTACCTTCAAGAACAACAACACCAAAACAAGGAGACCTTTGTCACTTGAAATGTTAAAAAATAAAGTGACCTTCTAAAGAAGAAGTGAAACATGATGACATATAGGAACACCCGTGATCTATTTGCATTTAGCGTGACATTTGTTTTGGGGAAAGTCCTAAGAGCGGGTCAGTGTAGTCTGGATTTATTTTTATCGGTCCACTTCTCTTTTTTTTATGTCCGCATTTAGGTCTTCGCCTGTTTGTGTCAACGTGTTTGGCAACAGACATAAAAGTTCTTTTGTTGCTGCTCCACAGCAACATGTATATTGCCTAAATCTTCAACAGAAAAAGAAGTTTGTGAAATCTACTTTCAGTCTGGGAACACTGATATTCTGCATTCAGTCAGCGTAACATGAGAAAATTATTGCTTTATTTTCTGTATCTCGATTAATGATTCATGGATACTTTTTTGATTCAATGATACACATAAGAAATGCATTGGTACTTCTTATGTGTATGTGCTTCTCCTAATGTTGTGTTGTTGATATTTTAAAAATGCATAAAAAAAACACTATATGGACACAGCTGCAGTACCAGTGATCTCCCAAATACTGCCTGTATATTAAATAAATACATTTTTGAGTTTGGATCTGTGTCTCTGCAGCTTTTTGGGGTCTGTTCATCAACTAAAGTGCAGCACATTAGTGTCTAATAATATATGACTGATCATGCATATATTTGGAAGTCAGAAATTACTCAGAAGCTTCTACCTCTCCTGGACAGACTCTGGGCATTCCTTGTTGCTTTCCAAACTCTCACATAAAATATAAGAGGTCATTAATAACTTGTGGGATCAGTTGTTCGATCTCCAGTTCCTTGAGTCTCCGTACTAAAGTGTTGTTGGGCAACATGCTTGGTTTGGGATTGGTGGATGGAGTTTGTAGTGTAAAAGTGTTCTTAGAGTAGAAAACCACTCTACCAGTCAGTGCCAGTAAATTTACTACAAACTGAAGTAGGTGATAATAGGAGTAGTTAGAAAAGCTAATTTATGAGTTATTACACTGACACTTCTAAGATGACAGCTGTTAAACTGCATCTTGGGCTTCATTGTTACCTGACAAACCTTACTAACTAGTAAGTGTAGTTAGACATGAGCTTGCTAAGAAATGAAGTGAAGAGCTGGGCAGCATGGCACTGCTTCCTCTCAACAGAACGATGCTGGAGTTGAACCACCTCTGTCAGCTTGTTCTGGGAAAATGCCAAGTGTTAGCTGGAACAGGCTCATGTGAACTGGATAAGCATTTAAAAAGGGGATAGATAGATAAATGGCTGCATTTGAAGTGAAGGGAGAGCTGACACAATGGTTAAGGAAGCTTTATATAGATGAATACATACAGTTCACTGTATATTATGGAATTAAGTTGCCGCTGGATGAATGCTAAGCTTCTAAATATATTTTATGTGTCATAATGGAAGCAGGGCAATCCCTCAACCTGAAGAGTATTGTATAAAGCTCTGTGAGTGTTCAGGGAGAGTAGTATTCTATTTTATTATTCTATTTTTTTTATATATATATATATAAAACTGTGAAACTCCCTAAAGTCTTAATTGATTTCAGGGAACTTCGTGGAAAAGCGTTGCACCTGATGGGAAGGCACCTGAACTCGTAATACGGGAATACGACTTGGGTTTTCTTTAATGTTGAATGAGCAGGAAGTCAGACTTGTTCCTTGACCCTAAA